GGCATCGGATTGCATATCTCATGTTTTAAAAATCTGGTATGTTGGCTTCTACAATTTTCGCAAATGCGAAGGGAAGACTCGCAATTGCGAGCTCGCAAATGCGAGCACTGCTTCGCAATTGCGAAGTCTGGGAAAATGGGGCACTGTCGCAAATGCGATCAATCTTTCGCAAATGTGAAGGGCGGGAAAATGGGCTGTAGTCGCAAATGCGACGCCCTTGCTCGCAAATGCGAGAGGGCCCAGATCGCAAATACGATCATTACTTCGCAAATGCGAAGTCTGCATTGAGGCCCAGTGTTCGCAAATGCGAACTAAAATCTCGCAATTCCCAGCAAATTTTATACTTAGTCGAATTTTCATCACTTTTCACCATTCTTTCAAACCCAAAATAGGCGACTTTCAAGAGCAAACTTCATCCCAAATCACTTGTAAGTTGATTATTACTCAATTCTTTCAATCTTTAACATCATTAAACATGTTTTCCACTTGAAATCAAAGATTTTCATGGGTGAAATTGGGATTTTTGGGTAGAACCTAGGTTTTCTATAAATTGGGGAGTTGGACCTCGATTTGAGGTTCGATTTCAAAAAAAATTATAGATTTGAACTCGTGGGGGCATGGGTAACCAAATTTTGGTTCGAACCTCGAGTTTTGACCACGTGGGCCCGGGGGTGATTTTGGAATTTTTGGAAAAAACTTGGGAAACTCATTTTTATGCATTCAAATTGATTCATATAATGTTTATTAAAGTAATTGAGCAATTTGTGATTAGATTCGAGCGAATTGGAGGTGGAACCGCGAGGTAAAGCAATAGTTGAGGATTAAGTGGATTTCAAGGCTTTGAGGTAAGTGTTTGTTCTAACTTTGGCTTGAGGGAATAGGATTAGGATGTTATTTCCTGCTTGCTAAATGTGGAGTACGGTGTATAGGCATGGTGACGGTTATCTATGTACCGGAGTCTAGCATGACCATGAGTCTTAATTGCTTTAATTCGAATGATGCAACACAACTTCCTTGTTTAAATCGATAAACTTCATATAATGTGAGCGGTTGAGGAAGAATCGTGGTTGGTATATTTTGGAGCGTTGGCTCGAACAAGAATGTGATAATTGAGAAAGAAGTGAGTTAAAAGAGGATGTGTTGTGATTATTCCCTTGCCGGGACATGTAGGCTATTATTATGTACTCTCCCTTGCCGGGATATTTGGGCTGTTAGCTGTACCCTTGCAGGGTTAAAGTGTTATGTTGTCGAATTCCCCTAATGGGGCCTTCTTTACAAAGTCAGATATTTTGAACTATGATATGGGATCGTGTGGCACGCCGTCCACTTATATACATTATGAAATGGGATCGTGTGGCACGCCGTCCACTTATACTCTATAATATGGGATCGTGTGGCACGCCATCCACTTATATATACATTATGAAATGGGAACGTGTGGCACGCCGACCACTCATATATTATGAAATGGGATCGTGTGGCACGCCGTCCACTTATGAATTAATAAATGGGATCGTGTGGCGCGCCGACCACTTATATATGAGTTATGGTATTGAGATAGTTTCGTCTTTATCCGTTGATCTGTATTCACTGTATTTTCCCCGAGCATGCCCATTCCCTTTTTTTTTAGTTGACGTACTCTGTTGTTATTTCTGTTGCCTTTGTATATATATATATATATACATCTGCACAGGTTGTTCTTGGTAGGTCCTGTCTAGCCTCGTCACTACCTCGCCGGGGTTAGGCCAGGCACTTACCAGCACATGGGGTCGGTTGTGCTGATGCTATGCTTCTGTACTTTTTGCACAGATCATAGTACCGGAGCAGGAGCCTTTGGTCAGCAGTAGGAGCGTTGGGAGCTTACTTCAGTTCGGAGATTCCCGAGGTAGCTTGCTGGCGTCCGCATGGCCCGGAGTCTCTCTTATCTCTGTCTTTCGTTTGATTTCCCTTGTATCGGATCAGACAGTACTGTATTCTTATTCAGACTTTGTTTTTAGCATTCAATAGAAGTTCGTGAGTTAGTGACACCAGATCTGGGTAGAGGTGTATTTGAATTTCCGCACTTGGTTTCAGTTATTTATGTATCGAGACTTCCGCTTTTATATTAATTGCCTCGTTTTTCTTTATACTATTAATGATGTTGAGAGAAATGTTAAACTAATTGGCTTGCCTAGCTCCTATTAGTAGGCGCCATCACGACTCCCGAGGGTGGGAAATCCGGGTCGTGACACCAAGGCTATGCGAACGCGGGGACTTGTCCGCGAACGCAAAGAAGGGAAAGCCCACTGGTACGCGAATGCGAGCTGAGTGCTGCGAACGCGAAGAAGCAATTATCTGAGCAAAAATTGCAGAAAAATCTGCTATCATTCTATGTTTAAAAACACCCCAAACACATCCGAAAACACTCTCGAGCCCTCGGGGCTCCTAACCAATCACACACACTAACTCAACAACATCCTACGAACTTAACCGTGCGATCAAATCGCCAAAATAACATCATAAACGAGGAATCAAACCTCAAAACCATCACTTTTTCATCAAACTTCATAAACTTCAAATTTTAGTTATTTAGGTCCGAAACACGTCAAATGACGTCCGATTTCGACCAAATTCCACAGAAGGCGCTTAAACCATATATAAGACTTGTACCGGGCATCGGAACCAAAATACGAGCCCGATACCACAGTCTTTTAATCAATTTTCATTTCCATTTTCCTTAATAATTTCAGAAAAACAATTTCACAGAAAAATTCTTTTCCTCGGGTTCTAGACCTCGGATTTCGACTCCGGGCACATGCTTGAGTCCCATATTTTTCTACGGACCCTCCGGGACCGTCAAATTATGGATCCGGGTCTGTTTACCAAAAATATTGACCGAAGTCAACTTTAATCATTTTAAAACTACATTTTGAAAATTTTCATAGAATATAACATATAATCTTTCCGGTTACGCGCGCGGACTGCGCACGTAAATCGAGGCAAGTAAAAATAAGGTTTTCAAGGCCTCGAAAGCACGGGATGAAAGAGAAAACAGGTGATGACCCTTTGGTTCGTCACAACTTTTTATTACTCTGATGCTATTCGCTTCATATGTTACCTCTGCCAGCAAACTATTTCTATTTACTTCGTGTGTTTTATTTCTATAATTGCAGTTTTGTAGGAATAATGGGTTCTGAACAAAAAAACAAACATGTTTTCTGCGGAAAAAAAAAAGAAGCATTGTTACTACAACGACGAACAAAAAGACAAGAATCAAAAAGGAGTAGTCTTTCTGAGAATGTTGCTTTTCCTGGCGCTACTCCAGCTGCAACTGAGTTTCAGCAACAAATTGTTTCTCTTAGGAGCTCCTCTTCTGTCTCAAAAACAGGTTAGAATACATCCTTTGTTATTTTATTTTTTTAGAAATGTCCCTTCACACTTTTTGCATGTGAGTATAATTGAATGACGTTAAATGTGTGTTGTGTTTTCCCTATTAGCCAACGAGCGTCACGTTGATACTTTGGAAGTTACATTTGACAAGCGAAAGATTATAAATTATCCATTCTACTCATTTGAAGTAGGTAAGTATCAAGAATGCAATGTTAATTTTTACATAATGCCTTTATTTATTCATAATTTATTACTTTTTGACGTTAGGATCAACGTCACGTGCATCTAATGAAAATAGTAGTATGAGCTCAACAATGGTTGGGAAAAAAGGTTTGCACCAATCTTTTATTATGATACTGTTATATATTACTTAATTGGTAATTTTATGCTAATAATACTTAAATATACAGGTTATAACTAAAAAAAAAAGAGTTATACATACGTAGGTCAGTTACAATCTGATTATGTTCCCTTGAAGACTGTTCCTAACTGTAAATTTTGTGGTGCAAAAAAATTTAAATATGAACCACCTGGATTCTGCTGTAACAATGGTTCGATCAAGTTAGCTTCACATGAGATTCCTGCTAAACTACAAAATTATATTTAGGGACTACTGAAGAATGTAAACATTTTCGAACATATATCAGAACATACAATAATATGTCTGCGTTTACATCACTTGGTGTAAATTATGATAAAGAATTAGCAAAAAGAAATCGTGGTATTTATACATTTAGAGTTTAGGGAAAGATGTACCATTTTATAAATGATTTGTTGCCTCCGAGTGGAATAGCAAAAAATCTACAACTATACTTCTATGACAACAATAACGAATTAGCTAACAGAATGGCTTGCTCTGAGAAAATCCATGAATCAATAGTCAAAAAGCTAATGAACATACTGAGAATTAATCCATACTCTATTTTCTTAAAATCCCTAATAGATGTTCCAAATCTATCGAACTACAATATTGCACTTAAATCAGACTCGGGTTTGGATCAACGTGTATACAATCTTCCTACTACATCAGAAGTTGCAGGGATATGGGTTGAAAAAGAAATCACCGAAGTTAGTTCTGCACCTCATATTCGAATCTACACTCATAGCAACAGATCTCAAATAGTGAACTACTATTACAGATGTTATGATCCGCTACAATATACACTATTGTTTCTATATGGTCAAAGTGGATGGCACTTTGGCATTAAAAAGATTATACAACCAAAAGATACTTCTAAACGTCGAGCCTATTGTGAACACGAAGAATTACCAATTATTAGAAATATGTGTTCTGTTGATGGATATCTTGACATGGAAGCTCAAAATCTTGAAAAGGAAAACGAAAAAGAGATAATATCTCTGTTCGTGAATATTACTGTTATAAATTCCAAATGAGAGAAGATGAAACAAGTGAAACTTTGCATTCTGGAAGATTATTTTAACAATATTCAGTAGATGAACACATAAAACTTGAAACACAGAGATTAGACTTTTTTTCATTCAAACCAGATCTCTTTAGAATAGAAATGCTACAAGGACTCATTGATATTTTAATACTTGGAGAAAGAGACGCTTCAAATATAGGAAAACAAACATTCCTTCATGTTACTTTTATAGGCGTACCAAGAGACATGCGTCGATGCTACATGGATGCTATTTCTTTGGTACAACAGTTTGGAAAACCTGATCTATTCATAACGATGACTTGTAACCCATCTTGGCCCGAGATAAAAGAGCACTTGCTACCAACTGACGAAGCACAGAACAGACCTGATTTAATTGGTCGAGTTTTTAGGGCAAAGATAGAAGAACTAAAAACAAATATATTAAAAAGAAATATCTTTGGAAAAGTTGCAGCTTTTATGTATACTATAGAATTTCAAAAATGTGGTTTACCACATGCTCAATTCCTTATTATACTTACTAATGAATACAAACTACTCACTCCAGAATCTTATGACAATATTGTTCGTGCTGAGTTACCTGATTGTAAAGCTGAAGAAACCTTATATAAACTTGTTCTTCAACATATGATGCATGGACCTTGTGGTAAGTTAAATCCTACAAATTCATGTATGCAAAAGAAAAAAGGTTGTTGCAAATTCAAATATCCAAGAAGCTTTGCTGATCAAACATCAAAAGGGAAAAATTCTTACCCAATTTATAGAAGACGGAATACGGGACTTGTGAAAGTCAAAGATCACTATTTCGATAACTCATGGGTTGTCCCTTATAATCCATTCTTACTTGGAAAATTGAACTGCCATATAAATGTTGAAATTTGTTCAGATATTAAAGCTGTTAAATATATTTATAAATACATATGCAAAGGACATGATAAAATCACATTTCACATACATGACAATGACGCAAATGTTGAAGTAGATGAAATAAAAGAATATCAGTCTGCTCGATGGGTATCACCGCCTGAGGCTACATGGTGTTTATTTGGTTTTCCTATTAATGAAATGACACCAGCTGTTTATCATCTTCAGTTACATCTTGAAGGACAACAATTTGTTTCTTTTAAGAGTGCATCGAGTATAAACTCAATTATGAATAATCCTATGATTAGAAAAACAATGTTAACAGAATTTTTTGAAGTGAACAAAACAAATAAAGATGCAATAAAGCTCAATCTACTGTATAAAGAATTTCCACAATATTTTGTATGGTCAGTACAATATAAAATGTGGACCCGTCGAACAAAGGGTAATGTCATTGGACGTGTTGTAACATGTCATCCAACAGAAGGTGAAAGATATTATCTGAGATTATTATTAATGAATATAAGAGGACCAAAATCATATGAAGATCTACTAACTGTAAATGAAGTACGTTGCGATACATTCAGAGAATCAGCTCAAAAAAGAGGACTACTTCATTGTAACAATAACTTAGCTGAATGTATGCTAGAAGCTGAGAGTTATCAAATGCCATGTAGCTTGAGACGCTTGTTTGCTACATTGTTGGTATATTGTGATCCTGCTAATCCAAGAGAATTGTGGGAGAAATTCGAGGACTCTATGTCTGAAGACTTCAAAGTTTTACCAGATATCGGAACAAAAAGTGTTCGATATAAAGTTTTAGATTGTCTCAATGACATCTTACATTCGATGGGACATAACATTAATGAGTATAAACTTATCCCTGAAAATTTCAAGGCTTCAAAGGCTGCCAAAGAAGCAAGAGAAATATTCTTCGAAAGAAACATAATCATTACTGAAGAAGAGCTATTACTACGACAAAAGTTGAACTGTGAACAACAGATGGCATACAATGTGATTATAGATAGAATATCTTCGAACAGAGCGGGAGCTTTTTTTGTTGACGGTCCTGGAGGAACAGGTAAAACTTTTTTATATCGTGCCTTATTAGCTACTGTGCGATCTAAAGGATTTATTGCTCTAGCAACAACAACCTCTGGAGTTGCGGCTTCGATTCTTCCAAGTGGCCGTACAGCTACTTCCCGTTTTAAAATTCCCATTGACATTGATGAAAACTGTAGTTGCAATATTAGAAAACAAAGTTCACTTGCCTGTTTGATTCGAGATGAAAAATTAATTGTATGGGATGAAGTACCGATGGCAAAAAAGAAAATGATTGAAACTTTTGATCTACTTTTGAAAGATCTCTTGAATACTAATGCGCTTTTTGGTGGTAAAGTTGTTGTCTTTGGTGGTGATTTTAGACAAACTCTACCAGTAGTTCGAAACGGAAAAAGAGAGGATTTTATTCATGAGAGTTTATTATATTCTGACATTTGGCCCCGACTTGAAAACATGCGTGCAAAAACTATCAGAAAACATGCGTGCAAAAACTGATCCGGCCTTTGTGAATATTTGATGAGAATAGAAAATGGAAAAGAACCTCTTACTTCTGAAAACAAAATTGAAATTCCAAAATCATTTATTTTGTCCCTTATACTACTGAACAGGAATCTTTGAATGCATTATCTGAAGCAACATTTCCTAACATGCATGCTTTCTTCTATGATGCATCTTCTGTAACTTCCCGCGTTATTTTGACGACAAAAAATGATTTTGTAAATGAAATAAATGATATCCTTATAGGCAAATTTCCAAAAGAAGCTAAAACATTCGTTGCAATTGATGAAACATGTGAATCGAATGATCAAAGTCAGTATGAAGATTTTTTGCGTTCTTTACATCCTGCTGGTTTACCTCCTTACATATTAACTTTGAAAGAAAATTGTCCAATTATATTACTACGAAATTTGAATCCTTGTGAAGAATTGTGCAATGACACAAGATTGACATGTTGTGATTTCAAAACACATGCTATAAGCGCAAAAATTGCAAGCGGTGACTTTAAAAATACACATGTGTTTATTCCGAGAATACCATTGATGTCATCAGAAGATGAAAAATCCCCAGTGCAGTTTAAAAGAACACAGTTTTCAGTAAGACTTTATTTTTCTATGACTATAAATAAATAACAAGGTCAAATATTAGATTTTGTTGGTATATATTTACGAGAACCAGTATTTTCGCATGGCCAGCTTTACGTTGCATTGTCCAGAGCAAAAGCTTCCAATTGTCTCAAGGTATTAATTCAGCCTCCAAACCCAGATAGCGATGACGATCATTCTACATACAATATAGTTTACGATGAAATTATTCAAAAGGCTTTTCTGTGAATCTTTTACATGTTACTGTATAACGTCTGTTGAACTAAAGAAAGTTGAACATACAGTTTAAACACAAGAACACCCATCTTGTTTGTGGAACATGTACTTAAAAGGTTAAGTTGTGCTTCTATTTCTCCATTTGGGTCTCTCATTTATTGTTTATATTTTGTTTTTTATATCTTAATGCTTGATTTTCATCTGATGTGCATATTTGTTTGTTTTATCTATGTATATTTTTTTTGGGTTTATATTCGTTTTGTTATCTGTGATTTTGGGTATCCTTATAATCTGACAAAGCAGAGGAGGTAGTATAGTAATCGCCATGTTTGGTGTTGAAAGGTTCAATCATATTTCAACAGCTTTAGTACTAAAAAAAATTGCAAACTTCAATATTCAACAAAGGTTGAAAATGAGTGTTTTACAAGCACTGGAAACTCTTGAATAAAAAATGTTGAAGAAGAACATTTGAAAAGCACTAGAAGATATGAGGTTCTAATGAATTGGTTGTCACTACAACAACATTATGCCCACTAATTTACGCAATGTGTTTCACATATGGCTAAAAATTGAGATAACTGAATAATGTTTTTTTTGTTTCTTTTATTTTTATTTACCATTTTGAAGCTTACTGTTCTTCCTTCTTCGGCATGCATATATGTGAGTTTTTTGCCAAGTAATGTGAAGCATGTTATTTTTTCCTCGCAAATTATTGTTATTATTTTCTTCTGTTTTGGTTGTCTCTTCTTGTGACTGTATTGACATATTTTTTTTCCATTTTCTTGCCCAGTTCTGGGCACATGTTCTGATGTTGCACATTTTCATGGATCTTGAGTTTTTTTGAAAAAGTAAAGAAATGGATCTTGAAATTACTAAGATATGTGGATCAAAATAGTGTGATCGGAGTTTTCATTTTTGGTGTGGTCGGAGTTTTCATGTAAAGGGTAACATGTTTGTCATCAATAGAGATAGGCTTGAAGAGACAACAACCAATTTATTGTTGCTTGGCTTAAGAAGTTCAGTTATTATCTCAGCCTCTGTGACACATGGTAAGTCTGAATTCGTCATAGCATTTTTCGCTAATATGTGTTACTGTATTTATTTCAATTTATGTAATTCTTTCTAACTCGAGTTTCATTTTAGAGGGCTAATTATACTGAGTTCAAAGTATATAATTTCCTGTACGGGTCTTCAAAGCTTAATCATTTAAGTACTCCAGATAAAATCCTCAAGCTACAAAGGCTTACAACAGCAGTAAAACTGATTGAAGCCACGTCTAAAAGCTTCCGTCTGCAGCCTGATTTTAGACATGACGGTAGCGTCAACTACCAAATAAACGTATTCCTTCAAGCTACTGAAATCCACTTGCAAATTCCATCCAAGGTATTGAAAGAAATATCAACAGATTCTTTTGTATTATGCAGATTTTAAAAAACTTGCGACGAGATTTTCGAAAGAACATCAAACCAATTAGATTTGAGATTTATTCCAGACTCTGTGGAATTCAAGCGTCAACCACGTCACATTGCAGCAGAGGTAATTTATGGCATCACTTTGTCATCATGAGCGCCTTTAGTTTTTACAGTTATTACTGGCTGAATGGATAAAATTTAATCACATTTATGTTTGAAGTGCTTATTGGTTGTTACTAAGTATATAATTGTTTTAACATGTTGAGTTCTGCTTGTTTACTTTTTCATCAAATGAGAAAAAAGTGATCTTATAGAAGTTTGTAGCCTTCTGTTTTCCCTCATCAAAATCATGGATTCGTATATTTAAGATTTAACTTGTGATTTATTCATCAGCTATTATAGGTAAGTTATAAAGGATTAAACAGCTAATTTTTTTTCCCATTGAAATGGTATTGTCAAAAATTTATTGATATATTTTTTCCTGTTTTGTTGCCCAGTTCTGAGCATACTATGTTGCACATTTTCATGGATCTTGAGTTTTTTTGGTAAAGGTAAAGAAATGGATCTTGAAATTACTGAGATATGTGGATTAAAAATAGTGTGATCAGAGTTTTCATGTTTAGCGTGGTTGGAGTTTTCATGTAAAGGGTAACATGTTTTTCATGAATAGAGGTTGACTTAAAGAGACAACAAGCAATCTATCGCGCGCTGCTTGGCTAAAGAATTATCTCAGCCTCTGTGACACATGGTAAGTCCGAATTCGTCATAGCATTTTTCGCTAATGTGTGTTAGTGTATTTATTTCAATTTATGTAATTCTTTCTGACTCGAGTTTCATTTTAGAGCGCTGATTATAGTGAGTTCAAAGTACATAATTTTCTGTGCGTGTCTTCAAAGCTTAATCATTTAAGTACTCCAGACAAAATCCTCAGGCTACAAAAGCTTACGACCACAGTAAAACTGATTGAAGCCACGTCTAAAAGCTTCCGTCTGCAGCCTGATTCCAGACATGACAGTACCGTCAACTACCAAATAAACGTATTCCTTCGAGTTACTGAAATTCACCTGCAAATTCCATCCAAGGTATGTAAAGAAATATCAACAGATTCTTTTGTATTATGCAGATTTTAAAACACTTGTGACGAGGTTTTCGAAAGAACATCAAACCAATTAGATTTGAGATTTATTCCAGACTCTGTGGAATTCAAGCATCAACCACGTCACATCGCAGCAGAGGTAACTTATTTTCTTGCACTTAAAAAGTAATAATAAAATTGTTTGCTTTGGATGATGAATTGTTGTTTTTTGCTGTACCATGAAGTTATGCTTTCCTGCTGCCTAGGGTGGGTGTGGGGATGAGTGGAGTGGAGATGGTCTCAGAGGCACCAAGCTCAAAAGTTTGTTTCTTGTATTATCTTAGAAAAATCTCTTGTTTATAATTTTTTGCTGAAAATTGGGGAGAATATAGACTTGAAAATTATGCTTTTACATTGAAGTACATAAAAAATGGTTTTATAGGATCCCGAGTATTTCTTTGTCATAACTGCTTTGTTATGCTTTCATTGAGCCGGGGGTCTATTGGAAACAACCTCTCTTACGGGATTACACTGGGTCTGTTGTTGAACCCGGAAAAAACATTAATCTTGCCCCTGTATGTTTCTATTATCATGAAGATTTTCTATGCACTGAAATAACTATATCGACGTGAGAATGAAAGGAATCCATCCAATGCTGTTGAATATTAAGAGAAATATGTGCTACTAGGACAAGTATAGTACTATGAAAGTAAAGCTTGTAGGATTTAAAAGTCCAATAAATGGATCAACGGGTAGTCAAGATAAAGATGGATCAAGTTGTTTTTGATTGACTGCATTGGCCATTGTATGCTTGTAACTTGGTGCTGCTATTTTATAGGATCATCGTACATTTGGACAGAGATACTATGAGTTTCTTGACTATTTTCGAATTCCTGATGGACCCATATTTTTGGAAATTTGTGAAGAATCTGCTTGCAACGGGATACCGAATAATTACCTCAGTGTAAGTTGTAATCCTTACTACTGATACTCTGTTCTATTTGTGAATGCGTTCTTATAATTCTTCTTTCGTCTTTTTACTTTATTTATCAAGACAGTCAAATCTTGTTATGCCGCTTTCCCTCTTTTTCTCCGGTGCCTAACTCGCTTTCAGTCTCCCTTTTTGCCATGGGTGAGGTAACATGATGGTAGGAATTGGAGAAGGAAATGGGAAAGAAATTGATCTTTCATTTTTGTAACCTAGGTTCAGTTACTTCAGGCAACATTTGAAGGAGTACTATTATATATTTGGTTCCACACGCATTGCAATCGTGGTTTATATGCTTTAGGATCGTTTTAGAACTACTAAAGTTGGTCAAATGTTTTGTGTGGGTTTTAATTCAAGTATCTCAGTTCATATCTATTTGAATCTGCTGTCATACTTTATTTAGTTAAAAAGATCAATAAGTGGCAAAGTACAAGTTTTACCTTACTGATAAATTCAAAAATTAAGAATTCTTACCATCTGATACTGTCATGATCATAGTTTTTATAACGGTCCACAATTGAATACAAGTAACTGCCCTCTAATTGCATTATGTGCTAAATACTTGCAGGATAAAGTACTTGAAATGTCATTATTCAAAATTTGTATATTTAATCCGGCCAACTGATTCCATCTTACTACTCAGAGATCTATTTTGTTTTGAGTTATTATTACATAGGCCTAATAAGTGTATCTTTTTCCCCTGTTCTTTCAGAGTCCTGAAATCTTCAAAAACGGTTCTTTTCATCTGCTTGCTACTCTTTTATCTGGGCAATTCATATATTGGTCTGTTTCTTTTTCTATTATAGTTTTCTGTTGATTGTGTTTTGGGATTTCAGTATATAGTTTAGATACGTTAGTTTTATCATAACAGTGAACGATATTAATTACGCTCAAAATTACATAGAAAAAGATCCTTTCTTTTTGGTATTATGTTAGGCTTATTGAATTGACGTTGTGGGTCCACAACATTACTCATTGTTCTATCTCAGCATTTGTTCCAGTTACTAATAAGTTTCATGTTTCCCTACTTAAAACATAGTAACGCTAATGCTCCTTCATTTCTGTTTCGCTCTTAGATAAGAATGTTCACAATTCAACAAAAGCCTATCAACTCTAACACGCGCAGGGAAATGAAGAAAACCAAAGTTGTCCAGTAGCTGGCTTGACACATAGAGAGAAATTTCAAGCAGTTCTATGATGTATAGCAATAAAGATTTTGTTGGTGTAATGGTTCATCTCTTATGCATAGTTAAAAGTTATATGATGTATAGGGAACAAAGATTTTGTTGGTGATCTCTTGTGCATAATTAAAGTTTAGGTTCTATGGCAATGACATTAAACACTATGCTTTTGCAATACACGTTAAATCACGTTTTCTCAAAATACCTGATTCAAAGATAAAACAACTACATATACTTCATTGTAGCTACAATTTAAAAACTTAACATGTTCTTTGCAATGAATTATGTGTTAAGCTAACAAATACCTCCTAATAGATTTTAAATGTTGTCACATTTTTCGACGAATAAAAGTAATCATGAATTTACTAACGTGAAGCTCATCTAGCCATTGGGACCGGGCTTAGCCGGGCATCAACCTCACTACGTATATATATATATATATATGTACATATATATCCTACTTTGTTGTACATGCATATGTGGAAAGGAAACCGGAGTGTTCATAAAAACCGAAAAACCAAATCAAACCAAATTGATCAAAAAAAACCGGATACTTTTTGGTTTGGTTTGATTTTGATTTTGAATTTTAAAAATCAATCAAATTTTGGTTTTAATTAGAAAAAAAATCAAACCAAAACCGTTATAGGAGTAGCTATTTCAAATTTATTATTACACCTATATATATGTATATTGTTATAACAAGAGTTTCAAAAAATTATGGTAAATATTAATAGTTTGCACTTTTAATATAGTTCTTTACCTTACATTCTGCTAGTTTGATTGGTAGTTTTCTTTTGTTTATGTAAGAATTCATTTCGTGTTAAAATAATATATTTTTTAATTGAGTCCTTAAATTATTTCATCACTATTTGATTCAATTATCATCAATATATTTTGGTAAATAAATAGATTGGGGCAATTGATTTGATAGTGTTATAGTTGAAAATGTGCGTTGCCAGAATATTGTGTTTGGTAGTGTATATCTTATATTTAAAAGAAAAAACCGATCAAATAACCGAAAAAAATCGAAAAACCGACATAAAACCAAATCAGAGAAAAACCGATTAATTGGTTTGGTTTGGTTCTAATATTTGAAAAACCGACTTACTTGGTTTGGTTTCCTTTTTTAGGAAAAATCCGATCCAAACCAACCATGAACACCACCTAAAGTGGAAACAGTGTGTTTTATGTCTCCCACTGGCGTTTTTACAATATTAAAATTGAAGAAAGATGCTGTTTTTAGAGATTTATTATGTATTATAATAAGTATTTTTTATGATATAAAAGACAAATCTTCATATATGTAAAAAGAAAAAAAAAGAAGAAGATGGATCAATAAACTAAAAATAATGTTAAATATAGACCACAAAAACGCATTTTGACTATTATGTGTATTTATATCTAACAAGAAAGAGAGAGGAGAAATAAAGGAGAATGGAGGTTTCATTATTTACAGACGAAACTAGCGGAGAAAGATAGGAATATATTAATTTAATGCTATACTATACAAAACTACTCAAAATTATAAACATACATATTTATTGCGGGTGTAATGGATTTGAATTGCAATACATATTGTGGGGTAATGCATTAATTCTTGTCTAAGCAAAAAGTAAAATAAATAAATAAATTTTTTAGCACATGGAACAAATATACATAAAGTAGTACTATATAAATAGTGTAAAAAATTAATTTCCTTTTGTTTACCTAGTTAAAATTTGATACAGTAGGTAAAATATTTTAATTAAATAGAGTGTCCATTTGCTATTTTGAATTCAAACATTTTATATTGTACTTCCTCGGTACAAAATATGTGATTTTTTTAGTTGTGTTCACACATTAAGGAAATTACACTTTTAACATTATTTGCAATGAAATTGTCATATTAACCTTTACTACGTTTTCACTAAATATGACTAATCACATATCCCCAACATTATTTACGGTCCAGGGTAAGGTAGATAAAATAATTAATTTGTTCTTAGAAATCTGAAAAAAAATATTATTTATTTTGGACCACAAAAATAGGCCTAAAATCACTTATGTTGGACAGGAGGAAATAATTCGAGCTTATCATTGGTTAGTCATTTATTTATTTATGGGAAGTACTGAATTTATAAAAAGTAATTTATAGAGTTGTGACTTTAAGGACTTGATATTCGATAATAAGAGATACTACCAAATGTTTTAATTTGACTTTTATCAGATTATTTCAAATTTTAATTAGTGTAAATTTTTAATTGAGTATAAGTGAAAAGTATATATGTTATAGGTATGTTAATTATGGTAAGATATAAGTCAAAATCCTTTGTATTCGAAAAAGAGACAATTGAGATTTTGGTGGACCTATTTGTTGCATTGTTTTCAAGTAGTACTAATAATTTTCCTTATTTGTCTAGTAAGGAAGTGGAGAAGAGGGTTGGAAAATGATAGAAATTTGGATACAGCTTGTATCCAATCTGTTGTTGTAATGAGAAATTCATTTTCAAAGTACAGCTAAGTTG